CTTTGACAGCTATTAACGCACTCCAGGGTGGCTGGGAGCACTAGGTTAAGTGTCAAGATTTTAATTTATTATGAAGTAAAGTGAATTTCATTTTTTAACAGCTTCCCTTATTTCTATCTTAGGTCCTTACGTGGCCCCCCTCAGGGTAGTATCCGAGTGCCTCACAATCTTTAATGTATTTATCCTCACAACACCCCTGTGAGGTAGGGAAGAGATGCTATCCCCATGTGACAGATGGGAGAACTGAGGCATAGAGAGGTGAATGACTTGCCCAAGTTGACAGTCTGGTTTTTTTGTTCGTTTTTGTTCTGTTCGTACAGCACCTAGCACGATGGGGGTCCCAGTCCATGACTAAGGCTCCTAGGTAAATAAATTCACACAGGTAGTCTGTGGCGGAAGTGGGACTTGAACGCAGGTCTCCCAAGTCATAGGCTAGTGTTCTACCCACTGGACCTCTTTCCCTTTAGTTCCATAGAGTTGTTTAAAGGGGAAAATCTTAGAGTTGCCTCATCAAACTATACTTCTGCCTTTAAATTGCTGATGCTTTCCTTGTTCTATCCCATCTTCCACATCCACTCCTCTTACCTGGGAGAATCCTGTGTCGTTTTCAGCTCTTAGCCTGATGCAATCTTAAGACTAGACTTGATCTAAGTAGAACGCAGCATGCTCTCCTATAAAACTACTTCACAAGGATGGCTTGACAGAGGAGATTATTAGCAGTGGCTGAAATAAAATAAGAATGTTAGGAGTCCACAAGAATTAGAGTCCCAAAAAAGAAGGCAAAGGCGCCAACGTTCCTTTTCTGTGTTCTAACTCCTGGTTTGATTCACTAGGTAATGAACCTGGCCTTTTTGACCTGATCATCGTCAATAATGATCTACAAAAAGCCTATTCTGAACTGAAGGAGATTCTTGCAGAGGTAAGACATTTAGGGCTCTTCTGCCGGGGGTACGGTCGAAGCCATTGTAAATGGAGAGTCAGCTGTTAGAGAGCATCAGAAGGAAATGCTTGACAAACATTCCGTTTCCGAGAGAGGGCAAAGTGGTAGCTGGGGTTATAGCCCTGACTCAGTAAGATGTCCAAGCACATACCGAACTTTTTAAGTATGAGTAGTCCCATCGGCTTCCATGGGATGCTACTCCCATGCTGGACATTAGGCATTTGCTGAAGTACCTTGCTGACTCAGGGCCCTAAAGAGGGAACTCTAGTATGCAGATTTTTTTTCCTGGTCCAGGACCAGTATTTGCAAAAGTTTACCCAGGGCAGGGGCCGTGTCTTCTATAGTGTTGGACTGGGCCAATTACAGTGACATTGGTCAGAACATAATCAGTTCTGACCTTCATGCACCCAAAGCCAGGACCCAGTTGTTGGCTTCGTGAGCCCTAAAGGTCACTGCTGTCCAAGCAGTTCCTTCTGAAGATTGAACATGGGTGTTGTAACAAAGAGCAGAACTTTAAGCTTGGCAGTTAGGCTGGGAGAACTGTATCTTGGAAAGCAGGGCCTCTGAAAAGGACATGGGGGTCCTGGTGGATAACCAACTCAACACAAGCTCCCAGTGTGATGCGGTGGCTAAGAGGGCTAATGGGATCCTTGAATGTATAAGCAGAAGCGTTTCAAGTAGGAGCAGGGCAGTGGGGTTACCTCTATGTCTGGCATTAAGTGAGACTCTTGTGGAGTTTTGTATCCAGTTCCGTGGTCCACAATTCAAAGAGGATGGTGAAGAATTCGAAAGGATTCAGAATAGAGCTACAAGAATGATGCAAGGTGTAGCCTGATATAGGGTGTACTGATAATATTAATTTGGATAATATGGGAATGTAATTTATTTATTTTATTTTAATAATATTAATAATAATTATTAATATTAATTAGTATGGGGTTTAGGCTCGCCAATCTGTTTGATTAGAAGATAAAAGTTTTTGTTCTGAATTAGGCTTCACGGAATTTATAAAGAACCCTCGGGGGTATGACAGGAAGCTCACATTTAGTAAGTAAATGATAAATGATAAAATACCCAGAGTTACAAAGTTACAATTGCATTACTGCTAGTTAAAAGATACATATGATAATATAGTATTACATGCAACAAAGCTTTGGTTAACATACTTACACCCTTTTTTGATAACCTGGTGGTAAGAGACACAGGAACAGCCTTGCGGTTTAGGTTTTTTAATTTTTGAGTGAGGGATGCAGTGCTTAGAAAATGCTAAGCGCTATTAAAGCTGACTAGGGTTTACTTGACTAACTTAAACTTAAATAAAAACCTAATAAACAAACTAAGAATAAAACTTAGGGAAACCAAGCTTAGCCTAGTTCCCTTGAAACTTAAAGTTTAAGAAAAACAAGTATAGCCTACGAATAGTAGCAGTTATCGTAGATAGATAGAGTGGAGAAAGTAAATAAAAATTGAGTAAAGTGAGAACGGAGATAGTGAGAAATGGAGATGGAGTAAAGTAAGAACGGAGATACTTTACTGAGGTAGGTTCCCTTTTTTATAGGGCAAATGCCAGACCTTCTTCCTTTTATGCCCAAATTTTATTCCTTACCCACAGAAATGTTAGGGTACACTTACCCCATAGGCTAGTATGTATGTGCATATTGATGACAGGTATGTACGCACATCAGTCTTTTGTGGTGTACTTGTTAAATCTGTGGGGAAAAACCCCTATGCCATTTTTTATTGTTTATTGGTCTAGATAAAAGGTCATAGACATAGGCGTGGGTACTCATCTATTTAGGTAACAAGCTATAGGTCAACTTTGCTTTTTGAGTAAAAGGTCTTAATATGGATATGCTAAATTTGCCTTAGCTTAACATACAGGATATGGCCTGTAGGTCTCTTGCATTACAGCCAAACTTACTTTAATATAAATCTATAAACCTATTACAATACATCAAATACTTAAACTATAAGAAAAGATATATATATATATATATATACACACACACACAAGCAAGCAGGTTAGTCCTATAGGCTACATGCCCCTCTTTGACGGGGTGGTTTGCACCAAATGAACCCCGTCACACAGGTAGGATGTAGGTGGTTAAGTATTTATGGGAACAGTTTTAACACCATTTTTATAAAGATGATAGGTTGGGTTAGACTGAATAATAGTAATGTTTTTAAAAGTGGGAATAGGTGAAATAACTTAATTTTTTATGGAATAAACAAATATTTGGTTTTGTGACAGGACACTCCAAGGGCCCATATTGGTACCTCTTTTGGTTGGTAACCATGCAAAATTGGTTATTTTCAGCATAGGTTGGAGTTTTATACGTGGTCAGCCTTATTAGGCATGACGATGATGAATTCCGTACTCTCTCTCCCTGTAGTTTACACAGAACAGTGTTTGTTTCAAACACGTTACACCTACAGATGTACTGAGGCTCTTTTTAGAGCGACATCTGTGGCACTTTTTAAGTTGGAGTGGGAGTGTGATAGACCACCCGGGGAGGTGCATTAATGCATTTCCTATAGATGATGTTTTTGAGGTGACCTATAGAATGGACAGCAACCAATTGCCTGTACACATCCTTGTTTGGGTTAAACACTGGTAACAAGACTGTGAATGAGACGTACAAGGATTGTGCCATTATACAATTTTTTTGAAAGAAAACAACTGTTTTGGTTGGGGTGAGGTGTTACAGCAGACTACCTTCAGATGATTGGGTATTTTAGGATTTGGAGTGATCAACACCGGAGCCTTGACAATGGCCTGTTTTTGCTGCGATATTGCTTTCGTGTGTTCAGTCCATTTCCATTGGACACCTTTTTTTGTTGTTGTTTTTTTTGGTTTTTTTTAAGAGCTGGTACAAGGGACCTGCAATGGAAGCAAAATTGAAAATGAAATCCCTGTGGTACCGAGTTAAACCCAAAAAGGATTTTAAACGGTCCTGTGGTAAAGGCAGTGTTTGGATTGCATCTACTTTTTGTTGTGCTGGGGTTCTACCCTATTTTGTCAGGGTGAGGCCCAAGAAAGAGACAGGATTGGTCATTAGCTGTGCCTTGGCCGGATTGCACTTTAGCCCTGCTTCCTTGTTTTTCTTAAACTTTAAGTTTCAAGGAAACTAGGCTAAGCTTGGTTTCCCTAAGTTTTATTCCTGGTTTGTTTATTAGGTTTTTATTTAAGTTTAAGTTAATATAAATCTATAAACCTATTACAATACATCAAATATTTAAACTATAAGAAAAGATGTGTGTGTGTGTGTGTGTGTGTGTGTGTATGTATATGTATGTATGTATATATATATATATACAAATACAAGCAAGCAGGTTAGTCCTATAGGCTACAAAGGTCAGAAAAATCTGCTTTACAGTGAGAGATTTAAGACTGTTAATCTATTTATTTTAACAAAGAGGATGTGAAGAGGTGATTTGATCATGGTCTATAAGTACATGGGAGAAGATGTTTTAACCTAGCAGACAAAGGCGGAATGAGATCTGATGGCTGGAGGCTGAAGCTAGACCTATTCAGATAGGGAGCAAAGCACGCATTTTTAACCCTGATAGTGAGAGAACCATTAGAACAATTTACCAAGAGATGTGTTCGATCATGTGAAGTCTCTCTTTAAATCCAGACTGGATCTATTTCTAAAAGATATAGTCCATTTCAGCCATAAAATACGGGCTTGATGCAAGGGTCACTTGATGAAATTCTATGGCCTATTCTATGCCAGAGGTCAGACTAGATGATCATAATGATCCTTTGTGGCCTTACAATCTATGAAGCTATGAATTATTTACAGAGAGCAATACACGATCAATCGTTTTCTTCATCTGCTTGCAGGAAATCCAGAAGATCCAAGACTCCAAGAAGTCCTGAGTTCAGTCTGCCTGGCCGCCATTCCTAACGTGCTTCACAGCATTCTGTTCCAAGAGAGACATTCCCTTTAGCCTGATCCCCTTCTGAGTTACTATGACATTTATAGTAAAAAAAAACAAAACAAAAGCAAAACCAACCTTCTATTTATATTAGCCGGGGCTTCTGCCACTTTGTGTGCGCACGCTAAAGCGTCCAGTACGCTTCTAGGTTTGCATGGAGATTTCAGACAGTCTGAAAGTCCCTGTACTGTATTTCCTGAGCAGAATTATTCTGAATTCATTTGTATAGCCTGATGGTAGATACAGCCCATGCTGATACAATCAGTGCATGTAGTGTGTGAAACTGCAAGCAGTAGTCTCCTCCATAGCATTTTTGGTGGATACTCCCTTCTCAGCCCTGGGCTCCCTGCACCAGAGGCCACCTGCAGAGGGAAACGGCTTAGTATGACCCGACTTGATCTTCCTCCTGCAGACAAATAGGTTAAAGTGTGAAGTGTCATCAGCTGGCCTGAAGTGACCAACTGAGAGAAGAGATGCAACTGAAAAGGAAAGAGACGGGCTGAAGACAAACTCAGAGAGAGGACGGTGCTAACGCTGGTGCCTCCCTTCTCCCCAACAAATGTTCCACTAAGAATCATAGAATATCAGGGTTGGAAGGGACCTCAGGAGGTCATCTAGTCCAACCCTCTGCTCAAAGCAGGACCAATCCCCAGATTTTTTGCCCCAGATCCCTAAATGGCCCCCTCAAGGATTGAACTCACAACCCTAGGTTTGGCAGGCCAATGCGCAAACCACTGAGTTATCCCCATTGAAAGCTCCCACTCTTTCCCTTTTGTCCTCCCATTAGGCCAGTGGCTCCAGCCACCATTCCTTTAGATGGTTGACTGACATTCTCAGCGAGTCTCTCTGCTTGATCTCGCTACTGCTGCTGGCTAGGGCTCCTTTCAGCAGAGCTTGGGTTGCTCCAAACCTCAGTCCTCGTGCCCAGGACCTAGCCAGGTGAACGGCTGGGGTTGCTTGAAAAAATTGGAGACCCGCTTTATCTACCACAAAATAAAATCACGTCCTGACTTCTTCTGGCTCAAAGGAGTTCCTAGGGGAGCAATTGTTCAGCGCCTACCTGCCCTGAAAGACTGTCGGGTGTGGTCATATATGTTGTTCTGTATGAATGCAGCGGTGGAAAGGTTTGGGTGTTCCCAAGTTCAACTCTTTGGGGAATTTCTTTCCAGGCTGTGCAGCGCTTTTATTCCTGGAAGAAATGTAAAATGCCCCCTTTTATTGTCAGAACAGTTTCTGAGACCTCTCTGCCTTTAAAACTTCAGGGTTTCCCTTCAACTTGAACATCTTAGAACCAGCTTAATTCTGAAAGATCCAAACCATTTTACACCTTTTCTCCTTGATGGTTTTCCAAAAGGAAGAGTTGTGGTTGCACCTACCATTCCCCAGGTTATCCCCCTTCCCCACCACCACCTACACCCATACGGTGAATGGTAGAACAGTAACGTTCTTTCAATGTCCATTTCCTCACAAAAATTGCATGTGATCTGACAGCAATCTTCAAAGCTGAAGCTTGGCTCAGCCTGGTTTCCGGGAGGTTGTTCGTTAATTCCAAAGTTTTCCCTCTCAGGCTCATCCCAACATGGATTGGGGTGGAATTAGCAATATCATCTGTGCTGGGCCCTAACAACTCCAACTGTTGAGAGGAATAATGAGGACTGAAATCCTGCGTTCCTGTCATTGCCCTGAATCTGCAGGCAGACGAGCTCTACGTCTTAACTGAGTGATCTCTGTATTCCAGAAGAACTGTGTGTGTCTTAGGAGGGAAATTTCTCACTTATGAAATAATGCAGCATGGAGGGTTCGGGATAGCGGGGTGGTGGTAAAAACACCTGAGCCTGACTACCCTTATGCTCCTAGGAGTGGTGAATTAAAGATTTGGTTTTGTTTTTTACTTTTTATTTTTTTGCTTGTGCAGCCTGACTCTCTCATTGGCTGTGTGTATTATTCTGTCCTTGGGGTTCCTTCTCCCTTGAGAGTGCCCTGGGAGATGTGAGCATAAGGAGATTCTGGGAACCAATGCTACAAGGCCTTATGGGAGATATTACAGCCATGATCTAAGGACCAGCAGTTCCACCAATGATATTTCCCATGAGGCCATCCTGTGTTTCAGGCCACGCTGTCCGTGCCAGGATCCCACAAACTTTTCCCTTATTGCAAAGATTGCCTGATGGGAGTTTAATCTGTGCCTGACCTATATCAGCACAGCAGGAAGCCCCCATGAGCTTAAGCAGTTCAGATAACCCTAAATCGTGCACTAATCCCACTATACAAATCCCCCTCATCGATAAGCAGAAATTCCACTGCTTCCCCAAACGGAGCCCTTGAGACATGGTCAAGGGTTCTGGTATGTTCCAGCCAAAAGAGAACTGCAGTAATAACGAGTGACGTACAAAGTTGGTCGCTTAACTGAAGAAAACTGAGTGAAAAGAGCAGGGGGTAGGTGTTTCCCTGCCACTCAGCATGAGCCATTATGGCCTCGGGCAGGAGAGCGGGGCAAGGAAACTAATTTGTGTGCCAGCTACCAGAACCGAAGAGGGTCAACAAACAGCACTAAAGATGAAAAATTAACATTCTTCTCTCTTTTCCCCATCTGCCCCTTTTAATAGTCGACAGTAGTATTAGTAAGACAGGTAAGAAATTCCCCCCTCCCTCCCTTGCAATATTTATTTTTTATTTGAGCGTGTTCTTCATTCCAATGACGTATCCTGTAGAGCATCAGCCTGGACTTGGTAGGTGGGGATGGACTAATGATCTAATAGGTCTGTCCCAGCTCTGCTGAGTCTGACCTGATGCCATTCCCCTTTTCCCTCAAACACCCTCTGAACTCTCATGATGCCAGACCCTCTACCTAACTCCTTTCAGTGCAATGGGAAATCAGAGTGGTAGCTGCCTAGGTGCCCAGGCCCCAGCTCCCTGTAGGGTCTTGGGCGTTGCAATGCTGAGCGTCCTGGCAGCTGATGGTTAAGTGCCTGGAAAATCACAGCAACGTGCTGTGATCCAGGAACCTGAGTTAGGCACCTAGGCTCCCTCTGCAATGAGGGGGGAGAGAGAGGCATCTTAGAATGCAATCTACAAAAGCCAGCATGCTAAGTTGGGAGCCCTGGCAGCTAGCCATGGGCCGATGCGGACAAGAGAGGTGTGTGCTAAGTTCCACTCCTGTCGGGGAGAGAGGTGCCTAACGCTATGATCCGTGAACAGGAACCCAGCCTCTGGAGTCAGGTGGTTTAGGTGCCTAAGTCGTTTCTGAATGAATTTGCTGCCTTCCTCGCTCTGCACAAAAGACAGGGGGAGGGGCTGCTGCTACCACCCATCTTATATTTTTTTAGCCCCGTAGTTGGAGCACTGAGCTGGGGTGTAGGAGAGCCCGGTTCAGTTCCCCCTCTTCCAAAAGGGGTGAAAGGATTCAAACGGGTCTCCCATGACTCAGCTGGGTGTTCTAACCACTGAGCTGTGGTATATGCTGATGGGGGGTGGGAAGCCCTCCCTCAGTTTCTCCTGTTGAAACTGTTCCCCTGTGGGATAACTGATGATTGGAGTAGGGGACTGGCCCCTGGGTCTCCCACCTCCCCAATGGGTGCACTGATCACTGGGGTTACAGAGTCATTCTCATTTTTCTTGTCTCTCTGGCCCAATGACTATTTAACAGGAGAGCGTGAGGAAGCCCCTATCAGAATGCCCCAGAGCTCAGTGGTTAGAGCCCTCATCTGAGAGGTGAGACACCCTTGTTCAAATTCTTTCTCCCCCTCTGCTTGAAGCGGGGAATTGAACCTGCCTCTCCCACCTCCCCGGTGAGTGCTCTAACTACTGGGCTTAAAGTTATAAGGTGGGTGGCACCCCTTCTCCAGCAGTCAGATTTTGAGTGGGACCAATCCCCTCGGGGGCCTCCAAGCATGCCTACCACAGCAGGATCCGCAGGCAAGTTCAGTGGAAGAACACCAACTTCTCTGGGTCATGCATCGCTCTGGGGCTTAGCTGGGAGACAGGTCTCCAAGTACGCAGCAGTAAGCCCCGAGACAGAAACTTAGGCACCGAGTGAGCTTTTCCCTTGAAAACGTAGGTGCCAAGTGAGTTTAGTTGCCTTCGTGGGAGTTTTGGAGAGCTCAGTGGAGCCCAAACTGGAACGTATACAGCTAAACTCAAAACTTAGGCACCAGATATTTCAAGGTATTTAGGCTCCCACTGGGAGTAGGGTGCCTAAGTCCCTTTAAAAGTCAGGCCCTCTCCTGCTCAGTTGCAATTTAACTTTGGAAAGGGTTAGCTGCAGTCCAGGTAGTGGAGCACTAGAGGGGGCCCATGGCACTAAGAAAATGCATTCGGACCCTTCTGCCCCAACACAGAGGAACGGAACTGGTGTTTCTCGGGATCATTCTTTGTACCAGTTAGGATTCTGTGCCCATTACCAGCTGAAAATGCACCACGCTGCACCTGTGACTGTCCTTTAGCAAGCTCCATACTCAGACGTTCCCCTGGGCTCCCTTGAATTCTGGAAGGCACTGCAGCCAGTGTGACATACAAGAATTAATGAATCCTCAGAAAGTCCCCCTGAGCTCGATAAGTGGCAGATAGGGGTTCCTTCACTCAGCACTGACATGCAACCATCTCTGGGGTGGAAGGCAGCAGCTATTTAACACTTCATAGTGACGCTATGGAACAGCTTAGAAAAGGGAGCGGAGAAGACTAATGAAAGAACAAAGGGAATTAAAATAATCTCAGATTCTGCCCCAATAGCCCACCCTTACACTCCATGCTCTGGGCTCTTTAAATGACCCCAATGAAATAAACTGGTAAGCATGCTATTTATAGTTCCATCTCTTTGTGGGGTGGACTAAAGCAATGAACACTTCATTCTCTCACGCTAATGGGAAGTGACATGCTCAGGTCAGGATTATGATGCGTGAAGAAAAAGAAAATGAGCTTAGATTGCTCTTGCGTCTCTAGGCAGTGGACTGCATTTCGTTACAAAAGATACCTGGATGCTGTAGATAGAAATCCCAATGTAACGGCACAGGATTTTCGAATGCCTCTATGTTGTGATTGTCAACATAGTCCAGTGTCTCTTTCCAACCTCTTGACCTGCTGGCAGCCACTGTCTGGAGGTATTTGGAGGTGATATAGCTGAACAGGAGAAATGAACCCAACAGCCAGAGAACGTGTTTTGTGCCTTTAAAATGCTGAAGAAGTTCTGGAGAAACTGGCTACTCAGAGCAGGGATGTCAAACACCTGGTTTGTGGGTTGGATCTGGCCTGTTTTAATGTATTTATGGGGCCTGTCTGTGGAAAGTATTCAGATTCTTTAGAATCTCAGCTCTCATTAAAATAAATTAACCTTCTAAGTGTAAACCACTGCAGCATCTTCCTGAGTCTGCAGACAGCCTTAAACAAGAGTTTGGAGATACAGCTCAATGGGGTGTTAACTCTGAAGCCTAAAGATGACATATCCAATGCCAACATAGTTCACTATTTCACCACGGATCATTTTAGCAGAAATATCCAAAATGTGTGTTCCAGGCTTAGGCCTACCTGAGGATCTTGGATTCTGCTGGGATGGAAATGGCTCAGTTATGAGCCTGGCTGCTACATGCTACAGAAGTGAGGCTGGAGAGA